AAATAATCACATGTGAATTATTTGAAGACTTATGATATATGCATTTATCAAATTCATTTGTTTTAAAACCATTTCCAATCATGCAGTAATCAAATTTTTCTTGTCATTGCTTTGGAGCCATATAGGGATTTAGTAAGTTTACATAATTTTTTTTCTTGGTCTGCTTTAACAAAAGACTCGGGATTTTCCATATAAATTTCCTCATTTAGGTTACTATTTTAAAAAAGCAGATTTTACATTCATTAGATATATTTACAAATAAAGAATTACGGTCATGACAATTAAAGATCTTATGAATAAAATTTTGCTTACCGGAGAAAAAGTATCAAAAAATTCTAGGCCTTCTAGTTGCTTAAAATTTTGTGCAACTAGCCTAGCTCTATATTTATCAATAGATCCATTCGATTTAAATTTTTTTCATAAGACCCATTTGCAACCAATTTTTTTACACCCCGGTGATAAATTATTTAACTTCATAGTTTTTTAGAAATCATTGATTTCATTTCATCATTTACAATCTCTTTCCAATAAATAGAATAATGTTGTTGATAATGATTCTTTCAAAGTGAGAGGGTCATCTTCAACATTAAACTCATAAAAATCAGGACAAAACTCTTTTTGTAATCTAACTCTTTTACTTCTTCTTAACTCATAATCATTAACTTTTTAATTTTTTAAAGTAGAAGTAGAAGAACTAGGTAGTGACAAAATATTTTGTTCAATCCTTTTACTCCCACTATTTTTAGAATTAAATTGAAATTATTTTCATTAAAATAGCATCAATGAATTCTATTTCAATATTATCTTCAAGATTTAAAAGTCTATAGGTTGTACTATTTGAAGCATAACCAAGAAAAACATCATTAGTAAATTTTTTACCCAACTTTGTAATCTTGGAATCCATTAGCCTCACAAAGGCTAGACAACCCCCAACTATTAGATATTCCAAACTTGGCTTGTAATTCACAATTCAAAATGTGTCAATTTAGAATATTTATAAGGCAGACAATTCAACACATCACAAGCAGTTAAAATTGTTTCACCCCAAAAATTTAAAGGTGCATGTGACTCAATAAGCATGACATTGGTCAATTCAATCAAAGTTCTATTTTTCCTTTCTGCTACTCCATTAGATGAAGGATAGTAAGGAGGAGTAGTTTTATGAATTATTCTCAATGATTTAACAAAATAATTGAACTCATTTGACTAAGATTCACAACATCTATAACTTCTAGTTCTTTTTTATTTTTCTACCAAACTAATTTTCAACATCATAAAGATAAGTTTTAAAATCCTCAAAAATATCACTTTTATTTTCCATTATGTAAACATATTTTAACTTAGAAAAAATCATTAATGAATGTGATAAAATATTTAATATCTCCACGAGTTAAAATACCACCAAGTTCACAAATATTACTATGAATTAATTCTTACAAATCAATTTTTCTTTCAACTTGACAATGAGACGTTTTAGTAATTTTGACTTTACTACAAGCCTCACACTTATCAAAATTCATTTTAATAATAGGAATTAATCTTAAACTACTCATGATTCCAACATAATGATCATTAATATGACACAAATGAGCATTTCAAAATCGATAGAAAAAAGCATATAAACAGAAGTAGAAACTTTATTCGTTTCAACATTCAATTAGAACATCTCACCACATGCATACTCCTTCCCTACAAAAATACCCTTCTTCACTATAGCATATTGATCAGATTCAATAATTTATTTAAAGTCATCTTTATTAAGAAGAAAACTAGACATCAATTTTTTAATCATAAAAGGAGTATAAAATATATCTTTCAAAGTTAATACAATTCTTAAAGTAAAACACAATTTGACATCTCCCTTTTCAAGCACTTGAATAGTGTGAGTATCACCAAAAGCATGATGGTGTGCGCTCCTCAAAATGAATATATTTTTTAAACTAGTCTTTGTCATAACAAATATGTCGATTTGCACCAGAATCACTCCACCATCCATCAAAATTCTCAACCATGTTAATGTCGGTTATCATTGGCACAAAAGGTTCTTCGGTAATGTTTGCCAGAGGGTTAGAATCGCGTTTCTAGATCTTCAAAATCGAGCAATATGCCCACTCTTGCAACAAACAAAGCATGGTTCCTTTTTTTGAACTTGTCTATTTTGTGCTTGGTTATTTTCAGGAGGAGCATTATTCGAAGTAATTAAATTTACCTTCATTGTGATGTTGTTCTCTTCTATTTGTAAAAGTTCCTCTTCTCCCCTTGCTTCTTCTTCCATGTGAATTTTCTCTACAAGGTTCCAAGAGATTTCCTTTTGTTTGTGGCGCATAGCTTTTTTGAAATTCCTTTCAAAAAGGTGGTAGTTTATCTACTATGCCACTAACAATAAGGTTATTTCACATTTTAACCTCTTTGGACCTAAGATTTCCAACAATCATGATAAAGTCTTGATCTTGGTCTACCACTGATTTATTGTCCACCATCTGAAAACAAAAAAATCTACTAGCCGCATTTTTTGCACTCCAGCCTCTTCGGTATCATACTTACTGTGCAATGTTTTCCAAATTTTCTTTGCACTAGAGTAAGTTCTATCATAATAATCATAAAAATTATCAAATATACAATTAAGAATATAATACCGACACTTATAGGAATCACCATCGTACTTTTCCATTTTCTCAAGATGAGAAATAGTTTCATCATCATTCATAGAGGTGATATCTACTTTATTAGGATTCTTCTCAATTAAAACATCAGAAACATTGAGAAGACTTACGTAGAAAAGTACATTACCCTTCCATCTCTTTAAAATGACTACCATTGAACCGAAATGGCTTGTTAAGGTCTCCCATCTTGACATTCGCGATTTTTTCAGTCGTAGCCATGTTGAATCCCCTTATAATTGTTAGTGAAAATCTGACAAGATAACAAAAAATTAATATTACAATTGAAAATAAAATAAGTAAATAAATCACTTCAGGCTGAGGCGTGAATCTCTCTCTTTCTTAAAGGAGATTCAAGCTCAGTGCAACAAATGTTTTCACCGATCCAGCAGTACTCCTGTTTGACTTGTCCCCTCCAGGATGCAAGAGTCTTCACAAAGTATAACTTGAAAATTTTGGACAAGAGCTGAGTCCAAAACTCCACAAAAAAACACAATCTCTTCACTAATAAGTATTGTCTTTTTTACTAACTCTTTCACTATATATTTTTTCTTGTATCCCAAACCAAATAAAGACCATCACTATTTATAGTAGAGGACGTCTTCCTAGCAATGAATAAAAAGATAGCGGGATAATAAATAGAAAAAGATAAATAGCCTAAGAGTTACATAGGCTAAAAAGAATTATGGAGGAATAAAGAATCAAATTAAGAGAGGAGTGTAAATGCCTTCAATGGCAAATGAAGTTGCTTCCAAGTTTTGTTTGACACCAAATTAATAATGGCAATTAAGTCACTAACCTTTTAAAGACAACCACTGCCTGCAGCGGTAAGGAGTGGACAGTTCACACACTTGATAACCTTTGGCGATCAATCTTATTATTACAAATAATAATGTTAAAATGCGAATAAAACCAACAGAAAATTTATCGTCTTCCACTCTAGGAGTGCAGCTGCAAACACGAAAGCTTATGGTTCCCCTCAACCTTTAAATTTTTGGAATTTTTTTTCATTTAATTAATAACTAATTTCTGTATTGCTAATTTAGTGTTCAAGGTTACAAAAAATTGAATCGGAGTTAGAAAGGAATTCGTTTACTTTTTAAAAGTACTCTTTAAGGCTAATGTATTATGCGTAATATTCATTTTGTATACTGCACGAAAGGAATATCATTTGTGTATGTGTTTGTGATAAAAGAAATAAGCTACTCTATGTTAATACATTAATTTTTTGACACATGTGTTGCAAGTGATTATCAATTTCAAATATATATGTTATGGTAAATAGTATTGCTTATAGTAGATATATTCAACTACATTTTATATATTCACATATTTTCATATTTGTTATGAGTTCTTTTTAAAAAAAATTGAACAATTTAAAATTATATATTTTGAAGTTAGAAGATTTTGTTAACTTGATAATACATTTATTACATATATAATACTTTAATTTAAATACAAATACCTACCCAATATAAATATATATTTGCATTCATGAAAATATTTATCTCATAAAATTAACAATTAAATAAATAATGAAAATTAAACTTACACAAACTTCAATCGGCTTTATTACAAGTAATATGAACTTTTCTTCGTCTAAAATACTGAAATATTAAGAAGCTGTAAAGAAGTAAAACAAAAGGGAAATATTTATATAAAAAATAACTATGTTGAAGAAAACTTCATGAGAGTCTAGATCAGATAAGTAGCATTGATAAATAAAGTCATTCTTTTATCGCGCATCAAAAATAAATCGTGACAATTCTCTTAATTTTAGAAAAAGATATTCAGAAGCATATAATTACATCACAAGAGGAATTGCTAATAAAAACAAACGAATTTAGACTACATCATGTTAACGTCATATATTTAAACATTACATACTAATCTATATATGAACCAAGAAAATAATTATTATATCGTCAGAATATTTTCCTCAAGTACTTGAGGTTATGAAATATATCATCATAGAACGACCTACTTTATCATAGTGGCACCTCATACTCCGCAAAATTTTGAACTCAGTCAATGATAAAAATCACACAATTTTTTTTAAAAAATGCAAGAAGCCCCTCTATTTAGGCCTGTGCAAAAATCGGGTTAAACCTTAAACCCGGACCGATTTTCGAGTTATTGGGCTAACGATTCGAGTTATTTGTCTAACGGTTCGGGGCTCGGTTTAGAAAAATAGTGTATAGGGTAATCGGTTCGGGGGTCGGGTTGGGGAGCCAAAATATTGGGCTACCCGATACCCCGATAAGACATATATTTATATTTATATTTTTTTTCCCTAATTTTCTAATTTTACACCCTTATTATAGGCAATAATACCCAATACCCGTAACTTTTCAGTTTTCACTTCGATTCTTTGAAGTTCTCAGGCTTAGAACTAGGGTTTCGACTTCCGCGGTGGAAAATTTTGAATCACCTCCGGCGAGGTGACGACGACTGCTCCGCGCCTCCACCTGGACCACCTTCATCCTCCACTAGGGTTCCGACTTCCGCGGCGGAAAATTTTGAATCACCTCGGCAAGGCGGCGACGACTGCTCGACACCTCTACCTGGAACACCTTCATCCTCCACTACTCGGCTACTCCAGTCATTCAGTCACTCAGACTCAGGCGTACTCGTAAGGCTGTCACTCTCGTCTCTCAGTCTCTCACTCAGGCGTCAGGCGAGGTCCGAGGACACAAGTCACTAGGTAACTATTGAGTGTTACGATTATGGCGAGAAAATTGACAAATAAAGCACAAATATTTAGCTGTTTCTTTTAATGTTGATGAACCTAGAAGTAGAAATCTTGAAAGAACATTGAAATCGTTATTAGAACCATAGTTTCCTTCACCATATGGACTTAATATTTATATAATTAGATGGTGTATCACTGTATCTAGATTGATATTTCATTAGGACTATTAGTGTTATAGCTATAAGAATGAGAATGAGTCCTTCTTTAAGACTTATATTATTATACCATGTTATGAAATCAACCTTAGAGTCTAACAGTGAGAAACTGAGAATGGGAATGGTAGGAAAACATCCCTTTGACATGGATTCTCTTAAACAAAAATGAAGTAGCAACTAACTTTTAATTACAATACCCAGTGATTTGATTCGAGTACAAAATGGTTTTCTTCAACATAGGTCAATTATAAACATTGATTACTTTTAATGCTGGTCACTATATTATATATTATAATAAATATATAAGAGCTGAGGAAAATTGAAAAGAACTAACCTTATTTTTGAATATGATACTGCAATTTAGTATAGGACATTCTGACTGTTGATTTTAAATTTGATAGTTTATACTACTTAGCCTATTGTTTGTACTTTGTAGTTCTTTCTTTAATTAAACTACTAAGTGTTTGTATCTTTTCGCAGTTTATGGTGAATGTACCATGGATGAAAATATTATAATTGCTAAGGTTATTGTGAAAGTGGGGCTTCTAATTCAAATGCAAAAATCAAAGTCAAACTATTGAGTCTAAAGTAAATAAAGGAAGGAAAAAAAGATCTCGTGAGTGGGATTTGACTCGTAAAACTGATATTGATGGAAGTGAAAAGGTTGTTTGTAACTATTGTAACAAAGAGTATTTTGCTGACACAAAAGAACATGGTACAACGTCAATGCTTACTCATATAAAAAATGCACAAAGATGCCTTATAATATTGATATTAAACAATTAAGATTAGCATTTCAACCAATGATATGGGGTAACAATGGTGATGTAGTTGTTGTTCCATGGAAATTTGATCAGGAAGAGTGTAGAAAAGCCTTGTGTTGTATGGTAATTATTGATGTGCTTCATTTCAGATTTGTTGAAAAAGAAGATTTTAAACAATTTATGAAAGTAGCACAACCTTGTTTCCACATTCCTTCCCGTAACATTGTGACTCATGATTGTTTTGATCTTTTTGATGAAGAAAAAAGTAAGTTGATGGTTGTTTTTAAGGAAACACAACAAAGGGTGTCTTTAACCACTGATACTTGGACTTCCATACAAAGAATCAATTATATGGTCATTACTGCTCATTGGATTCATAAAAATTTGACTTTGCATAAAAGAATTATCAACTTTTGTCCAATCACTAGTCATAGAGGTGAAGATCTTCGAAAGTCTATTAGTAAGTGCTTACATGAGTAGGGATTGCATCAAATTTTCACTGTAACAGTTGATAATGCTGGTTCAAATAGTGTGGTAATAACTGAGTTGTCTATGCAATTAACTAAATGGGGAACCAACTTAATGGGTGGTAGTCACCTTCATATAAGGTGTATGGCTCATATTGTAAATCTTATTGTTCAAGATGGTACAAAAGAAGCAAATGTTCTATTGAACGAGTTAGGCAAGCATGGAGATACATCAGGCAATCTCCTGCTAGGTGAAAAAAATTTCAAGAATGTTGTGAAGATGAAAATCTTGCGAAAAAGTCTTTATGCTTGAATGTTCCTACAAGGTGTAATTCCACCTACATGATGTTGAGCAGGGTAATTGAATATGAAGGAGAAATTGTAGAGTACGCCGATCGTTATATTGACTTGGCACTATATCTTAAGTTTGTTGATATAAATTCTACCGGTACACTTTTGAGCAGTGATTGGGAGGGCGTAAAAAGAATTACAAAATTTCTTGAAATATTTTTTAATCTTACTTTAAAGATATCTGGTTCGCGATATGTTACATCAAATCTTTATTTTCTTGAAATTTGTCAAGTTGGTGTTTACTTGAATCAATTGATATCAAATGAAGATCAAGTTTTGGCTAAAATGGCAGAAAATATGAAGGAGAAATTTGACAAATATTGGGGTGATGCTTCAAAAATGTTTAAGATGGTTTTCATACCATGTGTTTTGGATCCTCGTCACAAATTTAGTACTCTTGGATTTGCACTTAAGAAGATGTTTGGAGAAAAAGGGGCTGCTATAGAAAATGGTGTGCAAACGTACATGGAAGCTTTGTTTAATGAGTATACACACCCCATTTCAAATGATAAAAGTGGTCAATTTTCTTCAACTGGTGTGGATACTTCTATTTCAAGTTTTGTAGGAGAATTTGGAAATTTTTTTGAGGAATTACATAAACATAAATCTGAAAAGGGAGGTGCAAGTTCAAAGTCAGAATTAGTTAAATATCTTGATGAAGAAACTGAAATTGAAAAATCAGATTTTGATGTATTGATTTGGTGGATAGTTAACTCACCTATATTTTCATTTCTTTCTGAGATGGCTCGATATGTGTTGGCTATTCCCGTTTCAAGTGTGGCGTCTGAATGTGCTTTTAGTACTGAAGGGCACATACTTGATTTATTTAGGAGTTCATTAACTCCTAGATTTGTACAAGCTCTAGTGTGCCTTCAAGATTGGCTTCGGAGTGAGCCATTATCCATAAGTATTGAGGAAGATTTAGATTTTCTTGAGCAACTTGAAGAAGGTAAGAAAATAATCTTATTGATGTTAAATTATGAATTGTTTATTTAATACTTTTATTGTTTAAGTCTTGAGCCTTGACTTGTTATCGTATTTCTCTTTAGATTTTGCTAAACTTGGAAAAGAACTTTGCATTGATGACATGTAAAATTGGAGGAAGGAAGGTATATACATGTGTTATCTTGTCTTTGCGTCTGATTTATTATTGATATAATACTTTCTCTGTTTCTTTTCTAATCAGATTTCATCATGCATCGATCACTTGTTAGGAATCACTATGAATAACTTGAAGAAAATGAAGATGGATCGTGGAAGGTAAAATGTATTCATTGTGGCTGTGTTTATTACCATTCATGCAATACTGGGACTGCCTCCTTAAGAAGGCATGTTAAGGGTTGTTTGGAAAACAGGAACAAGAATCGTCAAATTTTGAGGATTGATGACTAGTTATTATTATGTTTAGACTCAATTTTAAGGTTGTGTTACTGCTGTCTGGCGTCTGCTATTTTAAATTTGTGTGTCTGTGACTGTGTGGAGTGTGGACTGTGGCTGCCTGGCAGGCTGGAATTGTGTTGAATTTTTTACTTCTTTAATGTTCAACTTGCATGCTTGTAGCTTCTACTGTTGGCTATTATTATGTTATAGTTTTTGGCTGCTTTATTATGTTATTTTATTATGAGATTTCATATTTGTGTTGCAAAGTTTATATATATATATATATATATATATATATATATATATATATATATATATATATATATATATATATATATATATATATATATATATGTATGTATGTATGTATGTATATATATATATATATATATATATATATATGTATGTATGTATATATATATATATATATATGTATGTATATATATATATTGTACAGTTGTAGTATTGTTAAGTGCTTGTAAGCAACATGAAAACACTGAAATGGGAGTAAGGGTCGCCAATCGCTTACTAATTCTCGGACTAAAATATCCTTCAACTTGTATACTGCTGTCAAATACATAAGCTGGTGCAGCTCTGTGGGATAATGTCTCTATGTTGAGAAAGCAGCTGGCAAATTTGGAAGTTTGAAAAGAACCTGGCATGTTCATTTAATGATTTCTGGTGAACTAAATTGTTTTCACTTTCTGTCTGCAAATTGCAGTGCAAAGTGCAAATTCTAAATTGCAATTTGCAATTCTGTAGACTTAATTTGCAAAGTGCTTGGGATCAATCTTCAAATTTTCATGTGATTTTTATTTTAAAAAATTGTATGATATGTTAATGGTTAACCCGATAACCGAATCGATAAGAGTCAATAACCGACAAACAGATAACTTAATGGTTCTTTAATGGTTTAGCTAGTCTACAAATCGATAACGGATAAGCAAAACCGATAATGTTTAAAATCGAATCGAACTGACTGATATGCAGTCCTACCTCTATTTATAGTTAACAAAGGGTGGTATGAAAAAATATTATTGTGTGTTTTATCTGAAAAGTTATGACCTTTTCGAGAATTGGCTAAGAAATGAGGAAGATATGAAGTTTTAATGTGGCTTCGCTGTACAGTGATTGGAAGTTGTTGGTTGCACGTCGTTTGAGGTAAATTTCATGATAAACTAGACTGTTGTAATCTTTTTTGAGTTCTAATTTTTTCTTTCCTGCCTTGGTCATATCTTGCTAATTTTAGCTTACTTTTGGTGATTCAAAGTCTCATGTGTTGGTATTGATCGTGTTTACATTGTAGAGTATTCAAGGATTGTTAGGCACCTTTCGATTCTCATAAATTCCAAGGTTAGACGGTTGTATGTTTTATTGTAAGTTGTTTTAAATGTGGTTTTCTTGCATGTTGGGTTTTGCTATGTTTTGAGCCTCGAATTGTGTTCCATTTTGTAACACAAGTTCAAGTACTACTTTGGGTCTCTTGACCAAGTCAATTTGGACATTTTAGTGAGGGTTCCATAATTCTCATTTATACTACAAAATTAACCCATCTTTATTTGTTGTGATTAAGTGTCTAAAAAACCTTACTAATGTTGTGATAGTGATAGCGTTCAAAGGTCATTCGGGAAGGAAAAGCTCCGGCTAAGTGACTTGGAGAGCGCGTACTCGTCCTTAAGGTAGACTATGGCTTGATTTCTATTAGATTGAGCTTAATTGAGTAGAAACTTAAAGATTGGAGTGAACTAGGGGCAGGTATCAGTTCATTACTTTACTTTGATTAGATGCCTTGTGTTAGGATCGGTTGGCCATATTTCGGGTGTAGTACCATGTTAACCGATTTAGTAGAGTTGAATGCTTACGTGCTAAATGTTATTGTATGCTTCTATGTGGTGTGTTGTATGCTTTGCTCATCCTTAACTATGAGCATGATGTCCTTAGTCTAGGTTAGGCTAATGTTGCCTTAGACTTATGACCTGTATGGGCTGGAAAACCTTGACTTTTTGTCGATGTTGTTTGGATGACATAGCTCTTTGTATACTGGAGTAGTAGACTTGAGTCTGATAGTTTGAGCCTTAGATTAGGCGCTATCACTACTTGTTGCACTTATGTATCTTCTTCCTCTAATTTTGCAGTTCTAACGCGTTCTAAAAGCTTTAATGTATCACTAGAGGCGTGGGATTGAGATAGTATAGGCTTGCAGCCTTTTCGTAATTTCTTGAAGTGGAAGACGTTCCACGATGGTTGTTGTTGGGTTGGATCCTATTGGAGATACCATCACACCCGGGGTAGTTCTTTCTAGATGGATTGGGACGTATCACTGGCTGGGTAAACTCAATGATATCGACGGTCGCCTCGGGCCTCTCTTGACTGTATGGTAGGCCGAGTCGCGATATCACCTCACCCTCGGGTCCCTCTTTATAGCTGCGCGGGGAGTGGACTATTTGGTAGGGTGCCCCCCTGTAGTCACTCTTTCTAGCTGGGCTAGGAGTGCACTGCTAGCAAGGTGGAGTCTAATGGATTATCTTAGTTACTTTGGGCTAGGAGCCCGATTTTCTTCTTTCTCCGTAGATTTAACTATTATGTATACTTGTCGAGCTTATGGGGGTCCATTTAGGTTTTCTTAAACTTATGCACGAGTCTTTCTTCTGGGCTTATAGGGGTCTTGTTCGGTTTACTTTAGTTGTACTTTAGTTTATTTCTGATATGCTCGTGTGCTTTCTTTTCATATCCGATTTGACTTCTTTGTGTCTAGAAAATCTATCCTTTCTTATTGTTTTTCTCGTTTTTCTCAGTCGACCTTTGATGCCTACTGAGTACCTGTTGTTTTGATACTCATGCCACACTTTGCATATATTTTGTGATGTAGGTTGCAGTACCAATTACCAGAGGTGATTAGCTTCAGCCTTCTTTTGCAACTGTGATTCATAGACGAGGGTGAGCACTTAGACATTTTAGTTCTGTCTTGTCTCTTTCTTTTGTTTTAGCTTTTCTTGTTTCCTTTGAGACACGCTTTGTTGTTGTCCACTTTTAGGACTTGTACTCTTTATTAGATAGCTTTTTACTCTGATTTCTTTATATATTTCTTTGTCTTGCTTCCACCATGTTTTCCTTGTTTAGATTAGTGTTTTCGCTATTTTCTATCCTTTCGCTCAGTACGTGATGTTGTGGTTACAGGTTTGCTTACCTACAGGTAGGGTATAATAGGTGCCATCATTCATGACAAGTTAGTCACAACTCATTCAAAAAATCACAGCTCTTTGAAAAAAATCATAACTTATTGAAAAAGTCACAACTCTTTGAAAAAGTTCATCGAAAAATCACAACCCTTTGAAAAAAGTCACAACATATAGAAAAAGTAACAAATCATCAAAAAAATCACAACCTAAGTTAGAGATATCATAGTAATTTAATATTCAAGTAAGGAGTTCATGTATTTAAGGTTGAGCCAGCGTATATTGAATTGGTTTCATATTTTTTAGGTAGTTGGGAGTGGTATCTAATTGTTTCGAAACATTTTAATCTTCTTATTAAAATTATATTGAAGTTGCTTTTCTAATTCCTTGGTTTCATACATGTAAGAAGTCACCTACTTACTTATCATAATGCATTAAATTTGTCCATTGAATTTTGGCTGAATTGTTATTCTTCAATATTGATAAATGCTGCTAGAACATTGGGTTATTTTTGTTGGTCATGGTGTTTTCCTCGAAGAACAAGTAGAGGTCAGCTATGACAATTGCTCCTCCATATTGAAATCTCATTATTCCTCATCTATTACACCTTGTAACTTATGCAACACCTAAGATCATTTATCTTTATTATTTACTACCTCATTGTCTTTCTATTCATTGCTAGGAAGAATATCTCAACTATAAATAAAGATGGTATTCATTTGGTGTAGGAAGAAGGAAAAATATAGTGAGGAAAAAATTAGTCAAAAACGAGAGTTCTTATTAGTTGAAGGGAAGTGTTCTATTTGTGCAGCTTACTCAACTTTTGTCCTGAGTTGTTGAGTTATACTTTGTGTTAACACTGTTGTATCCTCGAAGGGACATGTTAAGAAGGACTGCTGCTGGACCGGTGAAAAACAATTGTTGTAGTGGGATTAAATCTCCTTAAAGAGACAAATATTTGTGTCTTAGCCCGAAGAGATTTTATTTATTCATTTCATTTTTAAAAGTAATATTGTTTTTTTTTGCTATTTTGTACTTTGCTAAAAATATTTAAGGAGATTCTTAGTGGCTACAACTGAAAAAATCTTGGATGTCAAGATGGGAGACCTTAACAAGTCATTTCGGTCAAACGGTAACCATTTCAAGAGATGAATGGGTAAAGTATTTTTCTACTTATGTTTTCTCAATGTTTCTTATGTGTTAACTGAGAAGAATCCTAATAAAGTAGACATCACCTCTATAAATGATGATGAAACTATTTCTCATCTAGAAAAAATGAAAAAGTACGATGATGATTCCTATAAATACCGGTATTATATTCTTAATTATCTATATGATAATTTTAATTATTATGATGATAGAACTTACTCTAGAGCAAAAAATATATGAAAAGCATTGTACCGTAAGTATGATATCAAATAGGCTGGAGCGGGAAAGTATGTGGTTAATAGATTTTTTTTGTTTCTAAATAGGGAGATGATAAATCAGTGGCTGGGTAAGCTCAGAACTTTATATTGATTGTTAGAGAGATTAGGTACGAAAAGGTTAAAATTGTGATGACCTTATTGTACATAGTAGATAAACTTCTACGGTCTTGGAAGAAAAATTTTAAAAAACTAATCATATGATGAATTGTGTAAAAATGCACTATTTTTTTATTCCCTCCATATGATGTTAGTGCGTTGTTTCCTGTAGTAAATTGTAGAGGTTATGTTTTCAAAAAAAGAAACTCTTGATGAAAATATGTAGCATGTATGGGTGGAGTATTAAACTTACAAGAGCACTCTCAATAAATTTCACCTATATGAATGTGGAAATAGGTCACTTTCTATGAGAGTTGGACTTATTCTCAAAAGCATTCAAGAAATTGGGATAGAAAAAGGACGTAATGTGCTTGCTTTTAAAGCTCATGTCAACAACTTAATTATTATGTGTGCGCAGTGATATTTTATTTTCAACATAGTTCAAGTTTGAGACCACTATGACACTTGAGTAAAAATTACTATTTAACTAAATGGAAATCAGCACACCTTCATTATGTAGTAGTCTTCCTTTAGTTAATATACTCTCTTGTCTAATATTAAAATGAGTGGGTGCTTGTTAGTGTTGGAGCATTTTAATATTCTTATTAAAAACTATATTGAAGTGGCTTTTCCAATTTTTTGGTTTCATACATGTAAAAAGTCAAACATCATAGCCTAATTACTCATCATAATGCATTATTTTTGTCCGTTGAATTTTGGCTTAACTGTCATTCTTCAATATTGATAAATGTTGCTAGAACGTTGGATTATTTTTGTTGTCTGTTGTGTTTTCTGGCAGAACAAGTAGTGGTAAACTATGATCATTATTCTCTATATTGAAATATCACTATTTACTATCACATTATCATTTTGTTCATTGCTAGGAAGACTTCTCAACTACAAATAGTGATGGTCAGTCTTCATTTGGTTTAGGAACACAAGAAAAATATTGAGAGGAAAAAGTTAGTCAAAAAAAAAGAGTTCTTATTATCTAATGGGAGGTGTTCTATTTTTGGAATTTTGGACTCAACTCTTGTCCAGAGTTATTGAGTTATACTTTGTGTTAAGATTGTTGTATCTTGGAGGGGATAAATCAAGAAGATCTATTGTATACTGGTGAAAAATATTTGCTGCACTAGGCTTGAATCTCATTAAAGAGAGTGAAATATATGTGCCTCAACCTAAAGACATTTTATTTCTCGGAAAAGGGTCTAAAATACTCCCAAAGTATTGGAAATGGTACAAAATTACCCTCCATCCACCTATTGGCTTCAAAATACCCTTCCCACCCACCTATTAGGTCCAAAATACCCTTGTCATCCACCTTTTGGTTCAAAATTTACCACTTATTTAACGGTTTTATATTTAAACTATTTAATATTTTTTTTAAATACGTGGCGCTCAACTATTTTTTATAATATAACTTATTAGTATAATTTATATATCAATCCACTACCCATCCATTACTAATTAAATCCTCAAGATTAATAAATCACTCACATTATTAATGCAACAACAGAAAAGCTACTGCCAATTGAGTGTTTTAAAAAATTCCAGACGAAAATATCTATAGAAGTAAATTATCATACATTCAAGTGTCTAAATAAAAATTATCGATAAACTTAAAAGTCTGACTATGTTCATCTTAAGTATTCTTACGTCTCAATTTTGTGATGTTACTTCATAGGTAACTTTTTTTCAAAATAATATATTAAAAGTTTTAAAATAAATCATAAATATTTATAATTATATTTTTAAAAAGTGCATGAATTTTAATTCGGGATGTATTACTTCTTTACCTTTAGTCATAAATTTCTAATTCAATGTTGAAAGAGAATCAAATTGAAAGTGTCCTCCTAAATAAGCGGCTCAACATAAATATGATTGGGGCTTCGTTTCGGACTCGAATAATTTTGGATGTCATTTTCATTAATCTATAATTTCATCGTGTTTTAATAGTGTTTATGACGATTATGATATTATAGTTGAATTATTAATTGGGTGGGGTTTAGTTAGTAATGGGTGGGTAGTAGGTTGGTTTATAAATAATACAAATAAATTAAATTATAATCAATAGTTGAACATCAAGTATTTTAAAAATATTTAAATAGTTTAAATTTAAAATCATTAAATAAATGGTCAATTTTGAACTCAAAGGTGGATGACAAGGGTATTTTGGAGCCAATAGGTGGATGAAAAGGGCATTTTGGAGCAAATAAGTGGATGAAGGGTAATTTTGTACCATTTTCATTCTTCAAGGGTATTTTAGACCGTTTTCCGTTTATTTCTTTATTTTGTTTTCAATTGTGATCTTACATTTTTTTTTGATTATTTTGTAATTTTTCACTAACATTATCAAACTTCAAATTGAATTGAAATTTGTATGATGATACACTAATTTTAAAGTAAAATAAAAAAGTATTATGAAAAAAGAAGAAGAAAGAATAGTTTTAAAGGCCAAACAAGTGAATGTGATATAAAAAGAATGCATGATTTTAATTAGGAAGTTTGATGGTATCACTCATAGATCAATAAATTCGCATATTTGAAGACATGTGAGGGATTTTTTCTAGAAAAATTTTATGTTTTGAATTAGAATAACTGACTTCCTAATTAAATTAATTGGTCCAGCAAAATCTTCGGATAAAAAAACAATCAGATGTGGGGATACATTGAATTGATTTCATATATTTCGGGTAGTTGAAAAATTATCCTATTGTGTAACATTATTCAGACAAATAAATCCATAGTGTGATTAGGAAGTAGATTGAATTAATTGATTTAGGTGGGACTTGGGAGTAATATGAAAGTGCAAGTGCATTTATGGTTTAGAAAAGATAAATAAAGTAAAGTTGAGTCACCCATACTAACAATAACAATAACAATAACAATATTAATGATGGTGTTTGTGTGGAGTCCATCCAACTGTTTGATCAAATTTTGTTATTCAATTTCTATAGGTAACTGTTAAAAAGGAATAGTGACAAGAGTTGAAAATAAAAGATTTGATGATTGACAAATTTTGTCTATGCCATTAGTGACGTAGGCATGATTTTCTTCTTCTATATATAGATAATTCTTACTCATTTGTAGTATACACCTAGTTAGAAAGAAAAAATTATTTTGAGAGCAAAGAGAGGTATTCCATAGACTCTACAAGAAAAATAGTGTATGAAGAAAAATAGAGTGTGAGCGATATTTTTGTAAGATGAAAACCAAAAGAATGTTGTTCCGTTTGAGTGTTTAGTAGTTAAAGTATTTTATTCGTGACTACACAGTCTAAGATTTCTTCCTATAGTGATATCAGTTGCTCCTCTTGGCCTGGCCCGTGATTTTTTTTCTTATTTAGAAGGGTTTCCACGTAAAATCTTGGTGTCATTTTTCCCATTTTATTTATGTTATTTTGGCAATATATACTTTTATGCTTGTCCGTGTTTTCCCCAACAACTCGTAGTCACTCTCAACCCCATTGTTTTTTAAGAAAATAGGAGATTGAATTTTTTAGACATTGAAAGGGGCGATTTAACGTAATTAGGGGCCTAAAGCGAAATTTCAATTTGCATCCTAAAATATAAATGCACTTAATATACGTATTTATTCAAAAAAAAAATTTACACTATTTAGATGAAAATTATTAGTACTTAATATTATTTTTTCTGTTACTAGTTTTAGGTAAGATTTTATCAACTCAACATTTGAAAACATCGTTTAAGTGAGGCAATTTTATATGTATTATTAACATAATGATATAAGTAATAAGTTGACAAGTATTAAATAAAGATAAGATTTAGAACCATAGAATTTGACTCAAAAAGTTGATGACTTGGTATACCTCATTTTAATATGCTTAGAGAAATGCCTGAAACAAAAATTTAAAAAGAATAAAAAAGAATTTATAATTCACTTTTTTCAACATTTTTCACTGTTAATTCTTATTTTTAGCACAATACAACAGATGTTAACGTGGATTAAATAATTTATTTTTTAAAATAACTTTTATCATAAATAAATAATTTTTCTATAAAAAATTTAACATATAATTTATTCTTGACAAAAATTTGGTGCCCTCGAATTTTGGGGAGTAAGGCATAAGCCTTTATTTTTGAAATCATAAAGTCGGCCCTGACCTTTGATTTGCATTTGCCTCACTCTCCATCTTCACTCAACCTTGACCTTCCCATTTTACCATCTCAAACAGATAGCATTTCATGCATGTTATAAATCCATTGAACTAAGTAGATTATTCAGTATTCATGAACTTATATATCCTTGTCATGGATATGTATTTCCAAAATTTATCCTTATCTAAAATATGTATGTTCCTAAGGTGACATGAATCTTTATGGGATAATGATGTATTTATTAATTTAGCATTCATCAAAGTGACCTTTGAAGTGATTTCTTTACTCATAAATAGAGGTATAATTCTCCATGGATGACAGACTTGAATAAAAAGAAAAGTTCTCTCTTCTATCCACTTCTATTGTCTTCTTCTCTTTATGATTATATCATTATGAGATTATATTTTATAATACGTTATCAGCACGAGACTTTATCCAATTGAGATTGAGTTTTAGTTTTTCTTTAACTCATGCTTTGGTTGATCTCGTTATGAGAATCAAAGTATTATATGCATAAAATCAGGTATG